ACTTATTTGCAAACGTTGGGTTTCGAAGCGAGGGGCTGGATGGCGACCCCGCGCGCGGCATATGCCGCTGGTACCTGCGGGGGGGCCCCCCGTGGGGCCGCGAACCGTGTGCGGGGTGTGCCGAAATGGGCGGCGGTGGCCCATGCAACGCCCGCCACTGGAGCCTTCGGCGGAGCCCCCCCCCCCCTCCCCCCCCATGGGGCCGCGCACCGCCTATGGGGCCCCGAGCCGCGTGAGAGATGTGCCGAAATTGGCGGCGATGTCCCATGCAAACCCTGCCGCTGGAACCTTCGGTTGAACTCCTTCTGGGGCCGCGAACCGTGTGAGAAGTGCACCGAAATGGACGGCGGTGTCGCGTGCAACCCGTGTCGCTGAAACCTTCGGTGGAGCCCCCTGTGGGGCCGCAAACCGCGCGAAAGGTTCGCCGAAATGGGCGGCGGTGCCGCGTGCAAGCCCTGTCACTGGAACCTTCGGTTGACCTCGCTAAGGGGCCGCGAACCGCGTGAGGGGTGCGCCGACATGGGCAGCGGTGCCGCATGCAAACCCTGTCGCTGGAGCCTTCGGTGGAGCTCCCTATGGGGCCACGAACCGCGTGATGGGGTGTGCCAAAATATGCGGCTGCGCCGCGTGCAATCTCTGTCACTGGAGCCTTCGGTTGACCTCCCTATGGGGCCGCGAACCGTGGAAGGGGTGCGCCGAAATGGACGTCGGTGCCGCGTGCAAGCCCTGCCATTGGAGCCTTCGGTGGAACTCCCTATGAGGCCGCACACCGCGTGAGAAGTGCGCCGAAATGAGCGGCGGTGTCGCATGCAAACTCTACCATTGGAACCATCGGTGGGGCTCCCTATTGGGCCGAGGGCAGCGCGGGGGGTGCGCCGCAATGGGCGGCGGCGCCGCATGCAAGCCCTGCCGTTGGAGCCATCGATGAGCTCGTCACGCGGCCGCGAAGCGCGTGGGGGTGTGCCGAAATGGGCGGCGGTGCCGCGTGCAAGCCCTGCCACTGGAGCCTTCTGTGGGCCTCCCTGTGGGGGCGCGAGCCGCGTGAGGTGCGTGCTGGGATGGGCGGCGGTGCCGCGCGCAAGCCCTGCCGCTGGGGCCTTCGGTGGAACTCCTGCTGGGGCCGCGAGCCGCGCGATGGGGTGTGCCGACATGGGCGGCGGTGCCGCGTGCGAGCCCTGCCATTGGAGCCTTCGGTTGAGCCCCCCATGGGGCCACGAAGCGCGTGGAAGGCGTGCCGAAATGGGCGGCGATGCCGCGTGCAAGCCCTGCCACTGGGGCCTTCGGTGGAACTGCCTATGGGGCCGCGAACCGCGTGACAAATGTGCTGAAATGGGTGGCGGTACCGCGTGCAAGCCCTGCCGCTGGACCCTTCGGCGGGGCTCCCTCTGGGGCCACGAACCGTGTGCGGGCTGTGCCGAAGTGGGCGGCGATGCCGCATGCAAGCCCTGCCGCTGGAACCTTCGGTGGGGCTCCCCGTGGGGCCGCGAACCGTGCGAGGGGCGTGCCGGAATGGGCGGCGGTGCCGCATGCAAGCCCTGCCAGTGGAGCCTTCGGTGGAGCTCCTCGTGGGACCGCGAAACGTGTGAGGGGTGTGCCGAAATAGGCGGCGGTGCCGCATGCAAATCCTGCCACTGGAGCCTTCGGTGGGGCTTTCAATGAGGCCACTAAACGTGCGAGGGGTGCGCCGAGGAGAGGGGGGATATGAGGGCGCGGAGGAGGGGGAGAAGGATGAACGCGGGAGAACGTCTCTTGTGAAAACGAGGACCCAACGCCACACGATGGTTGGGAAACAAACCTCTGTGGGCGTTGTCGGACACATAAGTTACGCTACCGAGGAACCCCACATACCTATTTCATTTCCCATGTGTACCATCGGCGCTTCTGCTGCTGCTCCTCCTTTTCCTCCTCGGTGTGTTCCTCCTGCTGCTGCTCCTGCTGCTGCTGCTGCTGCTCCTGCTGCTGCTGCTGCTGCAGCTGCTGCTGCTGCCGCTACTGCGGCCCCACCTCCCCGTCCTCCTCCTCCTCCTCCTCCTCCTCCTCCTCCTCCTCCTCCTCCTCCTCCTCCTCCTCCTCCTCTTCCTCCTCCTCTTCCTCCCCCTCCTGCTCCCCTTCATCCTGCTCCTCCTCCTTCTTCTCCTCCTTCTGCTCCTCCTTCTCCTCCTCCTCCTCCTCCTCCTCCCCCTCCTCCTCTACCTCCTCCTCCTACCTCCCAGCGCACCCCCTGTGGCGTCGAGGAAAAGCGACGCCTGCCACGCCCTGGGAGCCTACAACGCATATGGCCCCCACCTCCCAGCGCGCCCCCATGCGGCGCCGAGGAAATGCCACGCCTGCCACGCCCCGCGGGCCTACAACGCATAGGGCCCCCACCCCCAGCGCGCCCCCATTGCGGCGCCGAGGAAATGCCGCGCCTGCCACGCCCTGGGGGCCTACAGCGCATAGGGCACCCACCTCCCAACGCACCCCCTGTGGCGTCGAGGAAATGCCACGCCTGCCACGCCCTGGGAGCCTACAGCGCATAAGGCCCCCACCCCCAGCGCACCCCCTGTGGCGTCGAGGAGATGCCGCGCCTGCCACGTCCTGGGGGCCTACAGCGCATAGGGCCCCCACCTCCGAGCGCACCCCCTGTGGCGTCGAGGAAATGCCACGCCTGCCACGCCCTGGGAGCCTATAGCGCATAGGGCCCCCGCCCCAGCGCACCCGCGCACCCCCCCCCCCCAATGGCGTCGAGGAAATGCCGCGCCCTGCCACGCCTGGGAGCCTACAGCGCCTAGGGCTCCCACCTCCCAGCGCACCCCCTGTGGCGTCGAGGAAATGCCGCGCCTGCCACGCCCCGCGGGCCTACAACGCATAGGGCCCCCACCCCCAGCGCGCCCCCTGTGGCGTCGAGGAAATGCCACGCCTGCCACGCCCTGGGAGCCTACAGCGCATAAGGCCCCCACCCCCAGCGCACCCCCTGCGGCGTCGAGGAGATGCCGCGCCTGCCACGTCCTGGGGGCCTACAGCGCATAGGGCCCCCACCCCTAGCGCACCCCCTGTGGCGTCGAGGAAATGCCACGTCTGCCACGCCCCGCGGGCCTACAACGCATAGGGCCCCCACCCCCAGCGCGCCCTCTGTGGCGTCGAAGGAATGCCCTGCGTGCTATGCTGTGCTGTGCTGTACTGTGCTGCTGTGCGGTTTGCTGTGCTGTGCTGTGCCGTGCCGTGCTCTGCTGTGCTGAGTTGAGCTGAGCTGAACTGTGCTCAGCTGCGCCGCGCTGAGCTGAGCTGAGCTGAGCTGTGCTGAGCAGTGGTGTGAGGAGGAGGGGGGGAGTGAGGTGTGTGAGAGGAGACGCGGGTGCGCCGCGGCAGGGAAGAAAACCAAAACCCCACGAAACATGTGGGGGACACGCGGGTGTGACGCGTATGTGAGGAAAATCAGAAACCCACTTGGAATGTGGGGAAAGCCGACAATTTGCACAATACTTGTTTCTGCATGGGCTTGGCCCAGGCGGAATCTACCTTGCGCGGCCATTGACTTCTCAACCAAACAACTGGGGAGAGTGGTTTGACGCGGTTCCCCTGCTTCTTCTTCCCCTTCCCCCTGGTCGTGGCACCGATGCCTCTGCTCGAGGCTCTGCTCGGAAAACGGTTTTGCCCCCTGCCTGCCCCCCTGGGCTTGGAAGGGGCGCCCAGGCTAGAGCGTCCCGGGGCTGCTCCAGGAGCGCGCCCCTCTTGCAGCAGGCTGCCCCCGATATGGCGCTGCATAAGTGCAAGCAAATTCGGCATGCACCCAAGAAGCCCCAAGGCGACCCCAAGAAGGTTCCAACTGCTTTTCGGGCCCCTTCTTACAGCACCTGTGTTGTTCGATATTTTTTCCGCCTCCGATGGGTCTCTTGGGCCTCCAGACGGGGCGTGGGGCGCGGGAGCGCGCGATGGCAGATTAACAAATGACAAAAGAGAGGGCGAAACAGCAGGACGATTATTGAGTACGTCGATCAAGCCAACCCTGGCTCGCGAAGTGGGCCCCGAAGGGGATCGCTCGCAAAACGCGGAGAACGTGCTCAATGGCCTCCCAAATATCGCCTTTTGCGCGAAAGCTACACAATCTTTAAGACCTAAGCTGATTTCGATAAAGAAGGAGCGTTTTCAGCCATCGTCTCTGCAAAGCGCAGCAAATGCGGTCATACTAATCAAAATCATGCGTCGGCTGCAAATTTGGACGATGCATACCAATACGTGCCAGAACGGACGCGATTTGTGCATTGGCTGCTATTCTTGGACGCTGTGAGCCAAATTCTTGCTATAAACGCAAACTCATACATATTCGGCAACATTGGTTGCGATACGTGTGCGTTTGCGCCATTCCGACATGGTTTCGACGACTCGTCTTCGAACCCCCCGCGAACTGCTCGAACCAGATAGTACCGGGCAACCGGCCGCGGAAACGGGAACAAGCGGAAACTTACTAGCCCCCACGCCCTCTGAGAGGTCTGCGGCGGCTTCGGGGCAGGCTCGGAAATGGGAGGCCTGGGGGCGAGCACCAGCACCAGCTCGGGAGGGGGGGGGCCTCCACAGGGGGAGGATGATCCTAGATTTCGGTGCTGGTGGTAATATTTCGGCCACCTCGGAAGCCAGAATATTACCACCATCACCGAGATCGGGGTCTTCTTCCCTCGGTGGAGGCACACCGCCGAAATTGGTGCTGGTGTCAACCTCTAGGCATGCCTGCGAAGAAAGCTTCTCAGAAGGCCGGGGGACCTCCGAGACCTCTGAGCACGCCTCAGGAGCCTCCGATGGAGTCATCCACAGCAGAATTTCTTGTGAGGCGGCCTGCTTGCGAGCGACTGCCAACATCCAGATCGCCCGCAACCCCCCAAATACTGGCCACGCAGTAGCCACAGCAGCGCAACACTGGGAAGGCCCTCTCCTTCTCGTTTCCCCCCACTGGCTCGCCGCCCGAGGGAGGGCGGGGAGGAGGGCCCAGCCGGCCCCCCATCGCGCGGGGAGGGCGGGGGGCCCGC